CACGTAGCGAAAAGAAGAAACGACTGGCGCGCTGTTGTTAACTCGGCTATAATCGCGTAAGCGGTGACTACGCCAATCAAGAAGAAGAAGAAGATTGTTGAAAGGTTTTGTCTTTGCTAGGAAAGTGGTTTTGAACTTTACTAAGTTAAAGCGGGAAGCTTTTAACAATACGGTGAACTTATTTAAGCTTAAAAATGAATATATGTATTACAGATATATATATTTGAAATATTTAATGCCTTGTCACCAACGTAGTAAACAGAATGCCATGATATCTTTACTATGGTTTTGTTACTACATGTCTGTCTCGGGTATTAGGTATCGAAGAATCTTATGTTTTGGTATTAGCACTTCTATTAATTTATTCTGATGAATTAAATATATTCAAGGTCAGCCTAAAACCGTAAAAGAACTATATTAACTTTGAAAATTTATTCGACATTCAATCAAAATGAAATCTAAAAATTAATACGATCTCTTCCTACCAGGCTTTAAGAAACATATATATGTATAAAAAACTATATTAACATTTTGGTATAGTGACGTCGATCAAAGGAATCGATAGTTTGTGCTCAAACGTAAACAGCTATTTCTCGCTTGCTCGCTGCACGAAACCTAACGCTCTTCCTCATTAAACGACCATATACATAAACTATAGGAAAGAGTACAGACTTAACCTTAATATAATATTACAGACGAGGACGTTAAGATTACGACTGTCAATAACCCTAACATTTTAGGTATGACTTTCGACATCCTGTACTCCTTCACTTTTCACACGACCGCGATTATTGACAAACACGGCGATTAAAGTCTTAAATCGCTAGCCGGTAACATGAGGAAAAGACAAAGGCAACATACAAGGCAATCGGCCGGCCGGTCCTTAACTCCGCCGAACTAATATTGTCGCCTGAATGCAGTGAAACGCAGACGAGGAAGCTACAAACATGAACACTGCACTCTGGAATGACAGGATGCCTCTTGATGTCTCCCATCGAACACCTGAACAGTGAGGCTCCTAGTTGGGAAGCAGTAGTGAACTCCTCCCCAAGTAGTTTCTGCTGAAGTGCTTTCGCAGAAATCATCCTTGCAGTCACCTGCTTGAAGCGGAACCGCCACCCTTGAGCATCAATATTTCTTCCTCAACTACGTCTACGACATTAGCCGACCAGACTTCGGACGCAACAAATTTCAGACATTGACAGTGGAGCCATTAATACCTTCATCGACTTCCTCTCGGTGAATAGCGTACTTGGCATCAGACCACCATCCATTGCAGACGAAGACTTCGACTCGCCACGAGAATCGAAAGTGACTCTTGCCCAACTTCGTTCTGGATACTGTAGAAGGTTAAACTCCTACTTATCCAGAATAGACCCTGACATATCAAATATATTCTTGCTAACCCTACACATCAGACACTTTTCTCCGAAACAGCACGTTTTCTGGGCATGCCGTTGAATGACATCGATAAACAGTTATCTAATCCTTATCATTCTAACGGGGATTAGGTACCCGTTCCAATAACAACAAAAAGATTGAAACCAAAAAGAAAAAAACCGTTATGTCAATCTATATAAGATTCGCTAGTAAAGTATGTAGGGCAATAGTCTTGGAGGTTTATCGTTTTAGAATGGAGTACCGAGAAAAATAGGATTGTGAATTTTTAGCGTCATTCTATCACTTATTTTTGAACCTAAAGTGTACCTTAAGTCAACAACAAATTTAAACGTTTCGAACATGCTAGACAGGCTTAATTCGTTAACATTCATAACCGCTTTCTTTCTGGTTCTTACAGGAGATTCAACGCCAATATAAAACTCATTTTGGCAAGGACCTAATCGAGGATGTTAAATCCGAGACTAGCGGCAATTTTGAAAAGTTACTTGTCGGCCTCTTGCGTCCAATTGTGGACTTTTACTGTGCGGAGCTAAAGGACGCCATGGCGGGTATTGGCACCGACGAGGAGGTGCTCATCGAAATACTTTGCACTTTATCAAATGTGGAAATTCACACCATCAAAAACCAGTACTTGCGCTGTAAGTAAAAAGCCTACGAAACAGCAAAGATCAACAGAGAATAATGTGTTTTTATTTTTAGTATACGGCGCTCATTTGGAATCAGAATTGAAGTCGGAGACGTCTGGCAACTTTAAGCGTCTCCTGGTGTCGCTTTGCACAGCCGCACGTGACGAGAGCGGTGAAATTGACCCGGTTGCAGCGCAGTCAGATGCACGTGAGCTGCTCAAAGCAGGCGAACTACGTGTCGGCACTGATGAGAGCATGTTCAACATGATTTTGTGTCAACGTAACTACCAACAGTTACGTTTGGTGAGTGCTTTAACCAACCTCTGCTCGTTCTCTTCATTTATATAAAATTTTCTATATTTTATCTCTGCAGATATTCCAAGAATATGAAAAAATTACTGGCCACACATTGGAGAAGGCAATACGCAAAGAATTCTCGGGTGATATAATGGAGGGATTGATAGCCATATACAAGTGTGTCACCAACAAAACGGAATACTTCGCCTCGCGCCTGCACAAGAGCATGGCTGGCATTGGTACAAATGATAAACAGCTGATACGCGTCGTGATCACGCGCTCCGAAGTGAGTTGACACCTTTAAAAGTATTATTACGAAAATTCGTTAACTATATGCATTCAATTTTATCTTCAGATCGATATGGCTGATATTAAAGCTCAATTCGAGCGTATATACGGCAAGAGCTTAAAGAGTTGGATAAAGGTAACATCCTGTTGGTCCTGAAATAATTCTTTTTTACTAATATGAATTACTTAATTTTTCTCCTCACACAGGGTGACACCTCAGGTCACTATAAGCACGCATTATACGCTCTCGTCGGTGAACAACGCTCCTCCTAAGTACCAAAATCAGCGCTTACAACAAAAATACACATATATATATAAATAGCACTTACGAAACGCCTTAGAATTTACAACAGTATTTGTTGGTTCATTTTTGCTTCTCTCGATGTGAATTCGCTAATTGTGTGTTATTCATCTGATTAAGAACAATTCCAGTGCTGGAATGTATGATTACTTTGTATTTCGAATATATACAATTCAAATACCTTAAAATATGTGCATAAACTTTACACTATTTTTATATGTCAAATATTACAGTCAATATTCAGAGTTGCTTCATGTTATGGAAGCACTCAATATTATAACTGCATAAGTGAAGTGAATCTAACTTAGTGTAGTACATAATGAAAGATATGTATTTCAAAAATAAATTTTTTATTGAAAATATTAAAAAACAAAAACGGAAAAATCTCAATAAAAAAACTCGCAAATTTAATTTCCAATTTTATGTTTTGTGTCGTACATCAACTTATGACAATATCAATGTGCATTTATTTGCTTCAATTTTCCTAATGCTATCTGTTTGCGATCTATATATCATTTGAAACAGAAACAAATTCATACAAATTTATTACATTTACACTTATATATGTATGTATGTACATTCACTTTGAAAAAATATTTTTAAATAAACAAAAAAAAATTTACAAAAAATCGATGAAAAATTATTTAATATATCAGTTTGTGCACAAAATGTTATTATTTCCAGCCTGTTTGAGATGGTTCAGCAGTTGTGTACTCGTTAGTACTAGTTACTGTCTACTAACTAAGCAGTTCCAGATTTTCAGTGGATATGAAATATAAACTACTAGCATAACTAGCATTTGATTGTTTTTTATTTGTTTATTAATTTATTATTATTATTATTTTTTTTTTTTTTTTTTTTTTTTTTTTTTTTTTTATAAAAATGAATAAAGTGGCAACTCTATGATGCATTAATTTTTTTGGTTCAGATTAGTTGTCGTCAAGGTCCTCCAACGGTTTCTACGGGGTCGGACCATATGGAGAGCTAAGCATCCAAATAGGTGGTTAGAATCGATGTTATTGTTGTTTTAACGGTTATCTAATTCTCCTTTGGGTGGTAAGGGTCATTTGCGTTGTCGTCGAGATCATCTAACGGGAGGCTCAGGAAACGTGCTGTTTCGACGGGGTCGGACCAAAAGGGAGAGGGTGTTAGTTGAGTAGGGTTAGTAGAGCATGCAAAAAGGTGGCCAGTATCATGCGAGGACTCATTGCATGCATTGGGTATGTCTGGATAAGTAGGAGTTTAACCTACTACAATATCCAGAACGAAGTTGCGCTAGGGTCACTCGCGTTTCTCGCGGCAACTGGAGCTCTTCGTCTGCAATAGGTGGTGGTTTGACTCCAAAAACGCCATTCACGGGAAGGGAGTCGGTGAAGGTGTTGATGGCTCCACTGTGGATGGCGGTCAGTACCTGTCGAAAGTCAGTTGCGTCCGAAGTCCGGTCGGCGTACTGTACGACGTCGTCGACGTAGTCAAGGAAGGACCTTTTGATGCTCCTGGGAGGCGGTTCCGCTCCAAGCATCCTAGCAGAAACTGTTTGAAGAGGACTTCATTATGCTCCTTTACAGGAAACATAAGCGTCTCGCTGTGGAGGTGTTCAATGGGAGACATCAAAAGGCATCCTGCCGTTGTTCGGAGTGCAGTATTATGGCAGGTCTGAAGTTTCCTCATTTGCGTTCCACTGCATCCAGGTGGCGGTCATATTGGTGCTGCGTAGTTAAGGACCGGCCGGCCGATTGCCTTGCAAGTTGCCAACAACGTTTCTTTGTCTTTTCCCTATGTGTTGCCGGCTAGCGACTTGAGGATCTTGTTGCGGCTCTGTACTTTGGCGATAATCGCGGTCGTATGAAGAGAGAAGGAGCATAGACTATCGAAAGTTACGCCTAAAATCTTAGGGTTATTGACAATCGGAATTTTGACGCCATTGATTGCAATATTAAGCTCAAGTCTACACTCCTTCGTCCAGTTCGTGAATATGGTCGCTGTGGATTTGGGGGGGGGGGAAAGTGTGAAGTTTCGTGCAGTGAGGAAACGAGAAAGGTCGGAAAGGTAGTTGTTTACCTTCGAACACATGCCATCGATTCCATTGCACGACGTCCATATCGTACAGTCATCAGCGTACGAGGTTATGGAAACCCCCTCTGGTGGTTGCGGGAGTTTCGAGATGTAGAAATTAAACAGTAGCGGGGAAAGGACACCAATCTGCGGAACCCCTGTTTAATTCTTCTCAGTTTGGATGTTTCACCTCGAAATAGTACGGATGACTGAAGACCGCTCAGATAATTCGTGATCCACCTCTTTAGCCCTGGAGGAAGCGTAGTTTTTTCGATATCCTGCAGTAGCGTGGTGAGGTTGACTTTTTCAAAAGCTTTTGAAAAGTCCTACGCTACGGGGATCGTTCTCTCACAGGACGGTTTCTGGTTGAGGCCACGAACTATCTGAGCGTTTATGACGCTAAGTGCTGTGGTGGTGCTGTGCACATTTCGGAATCCATGCTGGTGACTGGCTAGGCTCTGATGGTGAGTGAAAGTCGGGAGTAACAAGGTCTCAAGTGTCTTCACTACTGGGGAGAGTGGGACCACTCTTCCGATTTTCCGCACATCGGGTATTAGACGAGTGGTCAGTGACAGGTTGAGGACCTTGGTGAGGTAACTTACTCCCGTCGGGCCTAGATACTTTAGCATTAGCATATTGATTCCATTAGGGCCAACGCATTTGGATGATTTTGCTTTTTTGATGGCACTCTGAACCTTTTCATCGGTGAAAGTAAGCGGCGCGCAGTTGTTTGGTATTTTGCGCAGCCGTCGGTTAACACATCTCTTGGCTTTGTCTACCGAAGGGTGCAATGTAAACTGCCATCCAATCTCCAAATTGAGATCCGTTACTCCGGGATCTCCGGGATCGGCATGGCGTAAGATGTCGCGCTCATTAGCTAAAACGGCTGCTTCGACTGGGAAATTGGGGCGGATTTCCGCTATTCTTCCAGCCGGGATGAAGCAAGCGGTAGCTTCTGAGATCACCTTGCGGAATTGACGTTCGCCAAAGTATACGTCCGTAGGGATAGGTAGAGCATTGAAGGTGCTCTCGGTAAATTCTATGAAGCCGACTTTTTAAAAGTTAATGTACGTATGGTTGTCCACAGAACCGAAATCGGGAGGCTTCTCGATCGAAATAATTATGGGCAGATGGTCTGATGCGAGAGTTAGCACAGGTCGCCAGGTTATGCTATTCATCAGACCACCGGTAGCAATGGTAATATCAGGCGAGCTATTACAGGTGCCCATAATTCTGGTGGGGRCTTCGTCATTCATTGTGCAGAATGTCGAATCGTCAATCTGTTCCGCCAGCTCCATCCCCATATTATCGTTTGACAGGCAGGAATGCCAAAAATCGTGATGCGCTTTAAAGTCGTCTAAAACAAGACGGTTCTCACCAGGAAGTAGCGGACCTATATTCCGGTGATATCCTGTAGGGCAACATGTAACTGGGGAGATGTATATATTAAATATTTCGAGCTCGACATCGCCTGACCAGATAGCTATGCCCTGACATTCTAGGGTAGTATCCCTAGAATTTTAAAAATCCTAAACGGTGAAAGTCATAGCTTAATCCGGGAAATCCTTCAACAGACAGATTCGGTAAGAAGACAATGGTCTGTGGTGGGATTAGAAGGGCGTCGCTACAGACAACAAATGATCAATTTGAACCATGCATTGATCGAATTATGAATTGGCCAGAAGACACGACAAAGTAATTTTGTCACACGACAATGCACCTACATGCAAAGCAAAACGGTTCAGGATACAATCAAAGTATTTGGCTTTGAGCTGCTACCCCACCAGCCGCATTCGCCAGACTTGGACATATGTGATTACCATTTGTTTTCATCGATGGGACACGCATTGGCTTAGCAGATTCGATTGCTACACAGAAGTCGAAAATTGGGTGTCTGATTGGTTTCCTTCAAAAAAAAAAAGGTATGCAAACATGAAAATGTGTGAAATTGGATAAGAGTCTTATAACGATTATGTTTAAAACTACTAAGCGAGTGTTAACTATCTGAAGAAAGTCTTAAGCGGAAGGCTTCTGAATCGGTACATAATAATATGTAACCGCCAACTCTAAGATGAAATAGGAATATAGTTTGAAAATGCGTGAAATCGGACTGCAACCAACTTTCCATATATCACAATCTGAAATTCCATACTTTGCTTTCACTTCACATTGCATGAGTCGAGAGTTGAAATAAAACCTTGACCAAATATGCAGAATATGTCACCACTGTCTACGTCTGACTTATAACCAAAATATCGGTCAATAAGTAAGATTTATTGTTGAAATTCGGAGAGAATATTTTCATGACATCAGTATGCCCTCCTGTCAAAAATGGGTTAAATCGGATTAATACTATCCCTAGGCTCCATATACCTAATGTAAAGATTTTTGAGCTTCCGGTTGTCTTTTTCCTACATTTATCGGTCACACACATGTCACATGTCTTAAAATGAACTTGACTGAATAAGTCTGTCAGTGTGTTATTGCTATCATAAAGTCACATGGAAACATATATTCAATATACTTGAACAATGCCAAAAGCTATCAGTCCAGACCTGCCTCTAGATTCAAATACCCTATAAAGCGGTTTTCGTGGAGAGTCGGACGAATTTTCTGATATGTCATATTTTAATAAAAACAAGTTTTCGTAAAAATCATCTGGCTTAACGCTGAATATGATTAAAATGACCAATACTCTGGTTGACTTTTACTTCTAGATAAAGAGCACAAACGTTTCACTTTACTCGTAATTTTCCTTATTTTCATCAACTCCAAATGGGTAGAGCATTACTCATTTGATACGGACGAAATTAATGAAAAAGTTTCGAAAAGAAACATAAAATATATTAGTACAAATTTATACGTTTATTAATTTAAATGGAATCTGGTATGTACATATATATACAAAATTATGATTCTCACTTACTTTAAATGGAAATAAGCAAAAGTGCTTAGCTTACCAACTGGTTTACCTAACTAGTTCTATATAGTAAAAGTATAATTACGCCTTCTCTTGCAAGGTCACTTTAAAACCCGCACCTCCACATATAAAGAATCATTACGC